TCGAGTTTGGTCAGAGTCTGTATGAACGGCTGGAGGGAGTCTGCGGAATCCGGAAAAAGGACCGTCGAGTGCGGGAGCGGCGAGGGACGGGAACGATCTAAAGACTCCAACCTGACAGGAACAATCGTCCACGCCAGATCATCTACAGCGCTAGAACCCGGAGTATAGGGCGAGATGGCAAGATAGCGAATGCCATCATCATCTGTAATACAATCGGCGACTTAGCATGCAATCATACGACTCTAGCAGTAGCTTTTGCTACGGGCTCTGTAAAGCCTTTCAGCTCACTCACCTGTTACGGAGGGCGGCTGAAAGAGGTCGTTCGCCAGGTCCTCAGACACAATCCCGATGCTTCCACGCAGCTGGCTGTCCAAAGCTAGCCGCGCAGATATAGGGGCCCTATTGCGTAAACGCCGTTTTGCGATATTTCGCCTTCGCCGTCTTGGTTGTTCGGACGCACGGTCAAGGTGTGGAAAGTCCATGGTGAATCGCGGTGTGGTGTCGTGTCCGGGGTAATCGCCGAGGGGCGCGGACGATACAGGGTCTGGTGCAAAGATTGTGGGAGGGTGTATTTATCAAGTCAACAAGACATATTAGTCGTCCGGTAGCGACAGAACACAAAAAGGCCAAGCAAGAGACAATGACCGCAGATGTTGTAGAGAATTCTTTCTAGCTCAAGTGCGGGCAGAAGAACAGTGGTTGGAGAAAGTCCGGGGGAGCAAGTGACTGTTCGGCACCGCCCGAGCGTTCTGCCACTTCCCGAGCCGAGGTCCAGCTGCACTGCTTCACAAGATGCGGTGATTAAGTGGACTGTCGTATAAGTTAGGACTCACTTAATGCTGCATTCAAAAGACCTCTGAGCCAATTTTCACTCTTTAAGAGCATAGCTGGTGCTTGAGGATAAAAGGTCCAAGACACGACAGCATGTAGTCCTTTCAATACGAAGTCCACATTGAGATTCCCCGCCCATTGGTAGTGCTCCGAGTTTTTTGCCTTCTCCGCTCCTCAGTCTCCAAGTTTCAAGATCGCCATTGCAGTAAACAGCGATTTCGATTGGCAAATGAAACGGAAACAAAAGGTACTGTTGATCGAACATTCTTCATACTTCAGCGGTCACCAATTTGAAGGAGATAATCGTCGGCCTTATAGTAGGTTTGCATCGTACACTCTCGACGTACATACTGTACAGACTACCATCTTGAAGCCTCCCGCTGGGGGCCATCAAGAACCCTTCATATTAGAGAGATGATCGGAGAGTATAATCCCATTCCATAGCCAGGCCGGAAGTATAAGAGAAAGCCGAGGGTGTGATAGGCGTATCTGAGCTCAGCCCGAACAACAGTGGTTAGGTATATATATCAGCGAGGAACACTTCTTGCAAGCTAATTTAGATAAACGTAAGATTCATGGTCCTGACTCGCTCGTAACCTAGGTACGTTCGTTTCCCAGACTCATGCCCGAGGGTTTCCAGGACTTGTACATTGCGTGGCCTCCCTTTGCTTAACCTAGATAGCCCTCGACCTGTTCTACTCTTTTGACATCCTCGCCAAACATAACGCTAGGAACCGAGAAATCAAGTGTTGAATATAGGATTGCGTCAGGCATTGCAACTTATATATGGCCTCGAGGATACTAAGAAGAATGACTGGTGACACTGATGGAATAGTATCTAGTGGCACTGGCACAGCAAAGAACTCCTTGCTGTTGCCTGCCTAGAGTACTGAAGACGTGCTGGTGAGCGGATGACCGCACCTATCCGACCATGGCCAGCACCTCTTGGACAATCTGCTTTGTGATTGCGTTCCATTGTGATTGCTGAATACTGCAAGGCAAGTTTCAGATCGTGTACTAAGTTTTGTAGAGAAAGAAGATCACTGGGATAGCTCAAGTCATGTAAAATGAATTCAGCCTGAAGATGTTTGAAATATGCCAAAGAAGCATGGCCGGTGTTAGAGAATGTTTACCTAGCTCTTGGTCTTCATGAATGCTAGGCAGGGGATTTTCGAGATTCAGGGGACTTGCCAAAGATGAGAAATAGGACCTCAGTTTTGCTAGGGACAGTCCCAATACTGGAGGGGTTGTTTACAGCAACTATAACTGAATCGTTCTGCTTGGTCCCTTGTACTACACGGCGTCGTAGACAACCGATGCCAAGGTAGTCTACGGAGGCAGGCGTTGTAGAAAGCAGTTACACGTCGGGCGCGAGACTCCAACATCCTGGTCTGATTCGTTTGGCGCAAAACAGGGCCCTATCCAGCGGCAAGGGATTGACCAACTGGGCAAGGCACCGGTAGAGAAGGTCCAATATGATGATAACCCCAGCATTTATATCTGCTGACTGTGGAAGCGGCAGTGTCTCTGGAGTGTGGATGGGTGTAGTAGATCGCGTCCATACAGGGCTCTAGATAGTCCATCCTCAATGGGAGCCGCGAGAGCACACTGAGAGTAAAGAACTAATAAAGCGTATGACAGCTTGGGATAGTCAAAGTCGACGACTTCCTGAGACAAATAACGTACTCCATACCTTGTTATGTCGGGGTTTGTTTCTTAGCTTCGCCAAGCGTGGCGGAGTCAATCAAGCCACCATGGTAATGGCCGCCCAAGACATGGGAATAATAATAAGAATTCCATCTCATGTCAACACTTGAACTGCCCGTTCAACTGCCTGAGTATCCAGTGTGGGTCTGGGTACTCTCTAGATGTAAACCAGAGGAAATGTAGCCTGAACCCTGAAGCCCCAACCGTGGAGCCGATCAGCAGGTATCAGACGATGCCAGTTGTTCACTTCAAGTCCTAGACTAGGGGAAACGAAGTACTCCCTGCAGAGTACAAAAGCCGTCACCGACATCTGGTGATAATCTGGGGAATCCGATTGGATCCAAGCCTGATTTGAGCGGTCGAGCTGGAACGACACTGCTCCCTTATGTCAGAGGCTTCTCCGAGAGTGGCCAGACTCTGTGAAAGAGGGATGAGGCTCAAAGACTCCGCACATAGCCACATACTTGACATGGGTGGGTGCAGTCAAGTACGTAACCACTCAAAATTGAGCTGCCTACGCGCTGATGGATAGTCGCTGCGTAAGTGTCTTCTGGCTACGAGGCCCTCACTTAGTGGACGAGAGGGTGTGTTGAGATGCTAAAGATGATTATTAAGAGAAGATCGAGTCGTTATCCATGGAATAAGGAGGAATGTCGAATCATATCACCCATGTGAGCGAGTCCAGGATGTCCGTCGTGTTTGAGCCAGGATGAGAAACCAGTTGTCCAAAAGACGGGACATTCTGAGACATGACCATGGTAACGACTGTAACGACCGTGACAGCCATGACCATCCATTTATTGATCAACGTCCGATCGTTAACGGGAAATGTTTTCGACATAGCTTTAGGGACAATTATGAGAAACAATTCCAAAGTATATAACTTTCTCAAGAATTCCTTTACCTCTGCGTACATAGTAATTTCTTCGTATGTTCTGTTTTAAGTGGTCATTTAGGCCACTTTTCGAAGCGCTAGGGAAGAGTAAAGGCATTACCTATGTACTCGTATTGCGCTCGTAAGCATCGTCTCTACGAAAGTAAACCAAAGTACGAGTCCTTCTGCGCCCTTGTCTTCCAATTGTTTGAGGCTCAGTCGGGGTCCCAAAATGTCCGACTCCGTTGGTCCTCATTTCGGATTGTTGAACTGTCCGACCCCTTCAGATACAGAGTTTCTAACTTGTATCATACCTACATAGTCCAAAACTAGTTAGCCGGTAATCCATACCTAAATCAAAGGACTGTAAAAAGTAAAAGGAAACCCCTTAAAGAGGGCCAAATAGGGTGGAAATAATGGAGCCAAACGGCAATTGCATTAGACTGATGTTGTAATTCCCTTGTATCGCCCCTGATATTTTTGTCACTCCAGCAGGAAATTTGCCCTTTCGATACGTAATGGAGTAGTAAAATACAACCCAGGATCACAGCCCCAGATACGACGGTATGATACACTACCTTACCTTAGCTTACCTAGGCCGACTACTCCGTACGCCGATTGCTGATCGGGCAAAGCGCCACGACAGTGGGGCCTTCGCAACGAGGCTATGAATAACAATCCAACCAGAACTCTGCTATTCTGCTCGTTTTTTTCCTTTCTGKGATTAGGGGGCTCGTCTATCAGGCAGACATCGAAACCACCTCAGCTCGCGGACCAGCAGATCCGCGCCGGACGAACAGCCTCCATTAGTGTCGATGTCAGCCTGTCGTCGCAGACATAGACAATCCCACTCCCTCGAATCCGTCATCATCATCATTGTTCTTATTATCACATTTTCATCGCCTTACCTGTGCGCTCAACTTTGCCCTTCCTCCTATTTTCGACAGTCACTTTTGCCGTGTGTGTTAACGTCAAAATAGAGAGAATTCGGACATTGAAGGTCGCCATTTACCTCGATATAGACTTTGTCCATCTCTCATAAGACTTTCGAACGAGATTATCTCCATCCTTTGTTATCTACAACAGTGGTCCTACTTCGCATTCACATATTCGTTCCAACGCCTGTCGCCTACTTCTTGGTTACTCGGTGTCGTAGTACTGTTCAACTTTGCTGGAGTCTTGCATTTCACCCGACTCTACCAAGCGTGGAGATACGGTCATCTTAGAGAGTATCGCGCTGCCTTCAAGGGATCATCTATCAACTCGGTCATTCTCTCCATCCACAGCCAATTGTTATTACGGTGAGTTTTGCATCTTCAGTTTAGATTTTATTCCTTCGTCTGCTTCACGGTCGTCGCTTTGCTGGGATTAAATAGCTAATCCGCGATGGAGACCGAGCCATTGACTCGCATGTACGTCATTTGAATCACCAGGATAGTCATTCTCTTGAATACGTATATTACATCGCACCAGGTGAGTCACACACTTGCTGGACTAGCCGGCACCCCAGCATTTGGGCCAATCTGTTCTCTTCCGCTAACTTGCTAAGTCTGCCCTGCACTGTGACTCGTGCTTGCCTTTCTCAGCCATGTCGACCTCGCAGGCTGAGCATGCCCGGGTTCACCCGCGTCGGCGTCCCTTAAAGACAGCACCCCCCTCTCTTTCTTCTTCGACATCGCTGGAAAGCTATGTCGCAGACTCGTCGTCGCCGTCGCCAAACTTGAGTTTGAGGAAAGGAGAAACGTTCCATTCGCCTTCCCCACCACCCACAGACGATCTTGATCCGGTGCTTAGCTTTAGGTCTCTGCCCCAGCGCTCACCTACATGCCCCAGAAGCCTAGAGGCCATCGCCGCCCGAGAGCAGCGCATGGTCGACTACCTGAGCAATCTTAACCTCAACTCCTTGGAACCGTCTTCTCCTCTTTCCGACAAGAACAACGGAGACGATCTTCCTGTTCCTCGAGCCATCCTTCAAGCCCACATAGATTCTCAGTCAATGGCGGACCGAGTCAGCAAACCTGCTCAATCCTCTCAGCTAGACGCTCCTTCCAAGGTACGCAAGAGCCATTGCCATGCCTCGGACAGTGGACTGGGCACTTCCCTCAGCAGTGAGAACATGTCGGCCTCGGACAAAAGTAAAGGTATGTTCTTTATTAAGCCTCCCGCCGCATTTACTTTTACTAACATGCTTGTTATAGTGAAAGCTGGGCAGTTATCTTATGAATCTCAGTCGTCTGCCAAAGCTGCTACTCGAATGACTCAATCGGCCATCACAAGCTCCATCTCGGCGTTTGATGCTAAGCAATCTCAGAAGCGTCAACTGGGGTTGCCTGCATGCAAGCAGATTGAACGCCTCGTCATCAAGCCCATCCTCAAGGAAGAGAGATTGAAGCCTTTCCATCCCCTCGTTCAAAGTATCCCTCAGCGAATTGTAGATAGAGAAATCGGGTGTCTCCGTGACCTCGAAAAGACACTCTTGTGGTTGGCACCGGTGAGTGAATTTCAAAAGGAGAATGGCGTTCGGTGCATTGCTCATTTATTTTCTCGTTTCTTGAAGAATTACGCAGCTTCCAGAGCTTCGTACCTCCGTTTCTGCGAATTTACGATTCAGTGTCTTCATACGTCGGTCTATCATCTCAACGAACGCGATCAACGGCTGCCGGCAGACAGGCCTTACACTAACGGCTACTTCCTTGATCTCGTCGCACAGATTCGCCGATATGCAGCTATGATTAATGAGTCCCGGAACAGCATGCCTTCTAATAATGAACCAGCACAGGGCAGTGCAAAGGCTAGTGCTCCAAGGTATGTTCTCTCCTCGCCCTCTGGGTGTTTTGCAAGGTTTAACATTACCCACAGTGAACGTGTTACCCTGGAGGGTGGATTATCCAAGAACGGACGGCCTGCTGAACTCGTGGTTCACAAGGACGGCGAGATGATCTCGCTGCGCACAGGCAAGCCCTACGAAGAGAATGCCGTTCCTGCGATGAAGCGTTCCCTCAGCCTTCGCTCCGTCGATGAGGGCGTTGAGCGATCCATGGCTCGTCGCAAGAAGAATGCACCTCCCATGGACATTAACCAGAAGTGCAAAGACTGTGACAAGGTCTTCAAAAGACCTTGTGATCTAACGTAAGTGCAGTTACTGAATCGCTTTCCCCCCCCCCAACAAACACACAAATGACCTACAATCCATTCAAAGCATCTTGCTGACCGATTCCAGGAAACATGAGAAGACGCACTCTCGTCCATGGAAGTGCTCCGAGCCTTCCTGCAAATATCACGAAATTGGATGGCCAACGGAGAAGGAGCGAGACCGCCACATCAACGACAAGCATTCCAGAGCCCCAGCTTTGTACAAGTGCAAATTCGCGCCATGTACCTACTCATCAAAGAGAGAAAGTAACTGCAAGCAGCACATGGAGAAGGCTCACGGCTGGGATTACGTTCGCTCCAAGCATAATGGCAGGAGCAGCAAGAAGGGTCCCAACGGAACTACGCCCCAGACTCCTAGCATTTCTACTCCTAGCTCGAAGGCTCAGGACATTGCAACACCACTTACCGGTTCCGCACCCTCGCCCTTCGAACCCGTCACTGTTTATCCTCAGAACCCGCCGTTCTCATTTGCGGATCCCCCTACCCAAACAGGTAGCGGCGACTTCCCACTTTTCACTGCGAATAGCCCATTCGAGGATCTAGCCGCTGGGGTAAATGGTTTCAGCCCGCTGCCAACCACTTCTTTGGACTTTCAAGCGTTTCAGTCCCAGCTCGAAGGGGCTGACCCTAATGGCCTCATTCCCCTGACTTTCGATCGTCAATCGTTCGACTCCGCGTCTCCAGTGCCGGACTTGATCAATGGAACCATGGGATTCGATATGTCGCCAGTGGCATCCACCGATAGCAGCAGCCTGAACTTCGACCTGGCATGGAGCCAGCTCGACGCTCAAAATGTCGAGGAAGAATTCACAACTCTGACCATGCAGATGCTCACGCCAGAGCACTCGGTCCCGATGAGTGCCTTGAACTCCTTTTCTCGGGACCCCTCCATCTCGAATCCCTCTCCTCTCCCGGTCCAGAAACAAGAGAATCCCCTCTACACGCCCGACTCTTGCCACGTCGATGAAGGCGTCTCGGATCTTTTCGATCCCAGCTACCAGAGCAAGGCGGATTTTATGCTCTTCGACCAGAATGCCAATTTTGGGGCTGGTTCTGTGGACATGTCCGGTACATGCCATCTCTCGACGCTCCACAACGCGAATCAAATGTTCCCCTCTCTCAATACCGAGGATCTCAATTATATGACTCAGGGGTGGCCCCAAGATATGGAGATGGAACATTTCTAATTTCGCCGGCCATACTCGATCTCCTTGCCTTTGTTCTTTAATTTGCTACTTCTGGAGTCTGGAACCATCGGAAGAGCCGTGTATTTGTTTCTTTCCTTTTGAAAGCGGGTATGGTTATAACTGGGATCACCGCTACTGACAACCTTTCATCCGTCTACCAGTGCGGCATGTTCTGTTAGCGGCTTGACCTTTCTTTCTTGCCAGTCACTCTTTACGGTTATTCCTGGCCCGAGTTGACGTTGATATGTACCTTGGATTGTGTAATCACCCCATGCATGACTATCTATTCCTCCAAGCAATACTCTGCGCTGAATGATTTGTCAAGGATCACTTCTTATCTAGAAGCCCAAATAATTCCTCTAAAATGTCAGTGTGTACTTATGAAGAGCACCTTTTCGTGATCATCACACAGTACTCCTAAGGAAATAAGTAGCCTGCATGAAGATGTAAATCTTGTTGGCATCTTGTCAGCGATTTGATCGTTGGAACCTTAGTAGATACGGGCACATACAAAATATCTCCACGGTAGCATCCTTGATCTCATCCGTAATATGGCGGACGGATTGGCTACCCTAGAAAAGCATTTACCTTTATTCATTTCATCGGGGGACCATGTTGATAGTCTACCTGTTGCTGGATCATATGCCTCTCAATCATAGATAGATGCGATCATGAAATTTCTGCCTGGTGGCTGTGTTTCTTGACTGCTGAGCTGATCAAGGTGTCCGAAAAGCAACACATCGTCTAGTTGTCATTCTAATACAAAGAAATAACTTTGTCCCCTATTTTTGTTCTAGGTACTTAGCTGAATGTCATGTTTTTACCCTTTACGGTAGCTGTATGGATAGCACTCCACTGGCATTCGACGGCGATCCCGCTCTAGGCATCGACGATCCAATACCATCGAAATAGCACCTCATTACAATAGCGGGGCCTACAAGGCTGAGCCCCTCTCAACTGGAGTGCTGGACGCGTCAGTGGCAGCAGGGAAATCCAAAATAAGAGAGTTCGAAGGTACCCCTCGTAGGTGGATAGATATGTAATAATGTGATTCGTACCAGTCCTTACAAATTGGACCTGGATCAATTGTGACGACACCTGCGGAATCGACTCCCCTGTTCTAATTTCTCTACGATGTACCTCTCGTAGCTGCTTTCAGCTTTCCTTAACGAACTCTTTAACCAATAGGTCCTGCTGAGTAATTTTCAGCCTTCGTACAGTTTCTTCGGATACTATTCAGTTTATTATTTTCTTCTACCTTTTCTTATATTCGGCCCCCTGACAAAGACTTTGTCCTGGACGCTTGGCACTGAAAGCGGAGACGTCATCCTGCTTACCCCAAAACAACGTCCTGTCGTACATTAGGCAGACGGATTCTGCCCATTACTTGTGCCGAAGTCAAGCACCATACTCTTCCTTGCGAGGTGAATGGTCTCTCAACGAGTCGATTGAACGAACGGATCGAAGTGATAGATCCCCACTGGCTCGACATGCCTGACGCAAACCCCGCGTCCCATGATGCCGACCGTCTCAAGTCAGCCGGTCGGCCGCTGTCAACTCATGTCCCACCAGGGCAAATTCTGACGGGCAAGCAAGAGCACTGTGAGAATCGTCTCCATTCGGTTAAATTCTGATCGAGGGCGCCTTGCTAACCGGTACAGATCTGAAGCGCGAGCTGATCTCCCGTCAAGTGCGCAACGAAATCACCGAGCTGAACTCCCCGACTGCCCTCCACCGCTTCGGCGCTCCATTCAAATCTGAATTCGGGGAAGTTGCCCCCGTCGATTCTGAACTGCCGATTCTGCGATACATCTTTGTGCATCATGTGCGCAAGTTCCCTTTCCTCGACCAGGCCCGCGAGAAGGAGTTTTGGCAGGATAAGTTGCAGGTGGTGAGTGATTGCACCGATTTGGCTGTCTGTGGGAGCCGGAGAGTAGTGTGACTAACTAACGTCGTTCCTGGTACAGTTCCTCGAGTCGTTCGCTAACAAGCATGTATCGTCCTCGGAAGACCGTTTGGAGGAGACCAAGCGCAGGAAGCTGGCACGGAAAGCTGAAAAGCTCGTCGAGCTGATGATGGTATCGGGAATCCCCACAGCGTCAGGGTATGAAGAGCGGATATCATTCTCGGAGATGGAGGTGGTCGATCGCGGCGCGAACGAGAAGGGCCTACTCGTGAATATGCCGGAAGGCCATGCGATACATGGCTGGGATGTCAATGTGGCAGCGGTACGAGTTACCTCGGTCAAACGGACAGTGCGCTACCATAAACATGCGGTCAGTGATAGGGATAAGCAGGGACTGAAGATATCACATTAACTGACACTCCACTAGGAATTCATCCTCCGTGTGCGGCGGCAAGGCAAGCCTGACATTTTTGTGGCCAGGCGATATGGAGAATTCGCAAAACTTCACAGGAGACTGCGTACAGAGTTCCCGGGTAGAACATTAGCTCCTCTCCCGAGAAAAAATAAGTCATCAACAAGTGCTAGTCTTTTCGGTTCGGCTGACGATGAGGCGTCCTCTATTTCTTCCGTGTCAACTCAAGATACTAGCGAGGGGTACGCTGGCCGAACGCTGGCTCCGGGCCCTCATCACAGTCGGTCATTGTCGCGCTCCTCCATGAGATCATCAAAGTCCGGAAGAATTTCAAGTGAGAGCCCGAGAGCGGCGGTGCTTTACAGGGAGGAGCAGCGCGTCTCTCTCCGTGCATTTCTACGCACTTTGCTGCAGAACAAGCGAGTTTCTGAGTCAAAGGCGATGGAGGAGTTTCTCACAGCAAATCCCGTCACCTTGAATGAAGAGGAATTGACCGATGTAGAAAGAAGAAAAGCAGCAGACGCCATCAGGATTGAGGAGCAGAAGCGCTTCTACGAAATTGCAAGGCAGCGTGCGGCGGAATTGGATGTCTACATGGAGCAGTTCCGCCGAGATATTGTGGAGAGCAGTAAGCAACGAGTCTCAGTGACCCAGGGCCGCCTTTACTGACATCTTGAACTCAGATGGTCTAACAAAATTATTCTCCGAGATCCGTGAAAAGAACACGATAGCGGACCTTAGTCCTCAGTACCAGAAATTCGCTGAATGGCTTCGAATTGAGTGCGTTGATTATCAGGATCTCCAGAAAGTTGTCCATCTTGACTGACTATTACTAGGGTTGCGGCAACTCTCTACCACGTATTCCTGGCTGAGGATAACTCTCCCGAGATGTTTGCGCAGTTCAAGAGGATACATTCTCTTGTCCCGTATACCCTGCTAAAGAATGTCATCCGCATCGCCAATCCTGCGGCTGTGATGAGTGGTGTCCTAGATCTTTTCCTCGCCCAGCCCTTTGGGTCGCGGTCCCTGCTACAACGCATCTTTTCCATGGCTCTAAATGACGGCATTAAGCAATTCCAAAAGTCCATTGACTCGCTGGCAGCCAAGATTGGCGATCCTGTCCTGACTGGGAAGCTAAAAGAATTCGCGCATGCAGATGAGAACATCAAGAATGAAATCCGGACAGAGGCTGCGACTGAAGATGTGGATTTGATCGTTGCCATTCTTCGGTCGGAGCTCATATCACCTGAACTTACTCCTGAACAGGTTGGAAAGGTGTTCAATGCCTATGTGGCCTGGAATCATGCGGTGGACAACGTGGATCTTGAGATGCAAGAAGGGGCTCAGTGGTTCGCGAACTTGAAGCAGTTGCTCAAGCTCTACACTCGCCAACGCGACAAGGCAATGATTCTCAGCATCATCGAGGAGCCTGTCACCCTTCAGTTATTCCGCGATCTCTTCACGATTTTCTACGAACCCCTAGTGCGCGTCTACAAATCGGCGAATGTGTACAGTAGCATTACTGACTTTGCGCAATTTGCCGACGATGCCATTGCTGTGATTGAGAAATGTCACAGGCAGGATGTTTCGGCCGACCCTAACCAAACCGTTCAGGCCTTCATCGATCTCTGTGAACGACACCAGGACAACTTCTACAAGTTTATTCACGAGGTGCACCTTCACGATAATGGCTTGTTTACCTCCCTCATGGGTTGGATTGAAGATATCCTTGAATTCCTGCGCCACGGGCCTCAAGGAGGTAAGCTTGACATGAACGCTTTGTTTCATGGAGCCAAGGATGTCGGGCAGATCGATGAGGCCAAGGCCGTTGAGGAAATTGATTCTTTGATCAAATGGCACGAAGATCGCAAACGGTGGCACTTGAATAAGACGCGACAGAAGATGGCGGCTGACGGCACTGGTAACGAGTCTTTCCCCGGCAACGCGACGTTCCGCGGCAGTGATTTCGGCTTGGATGAGGTATGTGTAATGCAAAGGGCCTGTATTTTCGTGTCTAACCGACTCCCAGGCCGACCTTCAAGATCTCGCCATTTCGGACGCCGAATCCGAACAGTCCGAGGAAATGGAAGAGGACGACCTGGATCCGATCGCCGCTGAGAGGAGACGCCGTATCAAGAAACAGGATCAGCTTCGCCGCACCGCAGGAGAACCGGTCAAGCCGGAGGTCCATGAGATTCTCAAGCTCTCGGAGCCTTTTAACGCTATGTTGAGGCAGGTCCTTGCCGAATAAGCCCGACTCATCGCGATGATACCCCTGCAATTAGTCACTTTTGAGTACGCTTGCCTGTCTGCTTCCTTGCACTTTGCATGCTTTAGATCAGAGCATAGACATCTTGGATAGCTCTTTAGATTCCAACTCCAAATACAAAGGAAGGCGGTATCATAAAACTTCTGTTGCTTTCTTCGGCGGAGTGTTCTCCTGCTTTGGTTTTCGGGCAAGACCACGACCATCTTATCTGCTACTGGTATACGATCGCCTATAATTCCATCACATGATAAGAAAAGTATCTATCATTTCATCAGAAAGCGACCGGGTGTAGACTGCTGCTTCGGATAATTTTGTGGAATACTATCACTTTCTGACCCATTCCCCGCACTCTATTTTGCAACGTCTGGCTTATCAGTTTMCATAGCGACAAGCAAGGCGTTTGCTTCCACTCGTTGCGTCATAACGACCACAACAGTAAAAAGTTACTCCGACGCAGGCATCTGCCCTCACCATGTGATGGGAGATACTGCTCTATTGCTACACCCATGATTTCTCCTCATAAACGTGCGGCCGGAGGGCTGTCGCCTCGCACGGCCGTCCCATTGCGGGGACTCTTTCTTGACGGCGTGTGGAGGTGCAACTGTCCCGAACGGCCCCCAGCCATCAGACTGCAAACAAAGAACCACGGAGTCAACCATGGGAGATGGTGTAAGTGTCCATCTCATGGGATTCACTAGCATAGTACAGGATCATTGTTGAAGCGATACAGTCTACACCTGCCAGAAACCCCAACACAAGCGCTGCAACTTCTTTCTCTGGCAAAGCGACGCAGAAGCGCGGGAGAAACTAGCCGTGCTTTCGAGCTCACGGACTGAACCGCGCTCAGCGAACACTACACCTACGAAACCTTCAGTGCAAGGAAGCGGCCTTCTCACGCCACAGACGGACACAAAGGTCCAGGATGTCCGTAGGATGAGCGTCAACCGCACGCCCACACCGTCGAAGAGCGGCAAGGCCAGGATGATGACGGAGGATACGGATGAATTTAGCTGGGATGATTCGTCGGAGGCTGAGCAGCTGACCGAGTTGCTTGAGCGGCCTCGTCAACCGGATTTCGGACAGGATGGGCCTCGCAAAGCGCCCCGGACGGAGACCTCCACGTCTCCTGGCAAGCGAAAGCTGTCGGAGATGGAAAATGTAGAAAATGAAGGGGGAGAGAGTACGAGCGCGCTTACGCCTACGTCTATCTCCTCGCCCCGCATGCAGACCCGATTGCCGCCAGCTTCGGCGGAGCTCTCGATGACGCCTACGCCGGGCAGGTATAGAAATGCACTATCTACGGATGCGCGTGACGATTCGTCTGAGCTAGGTCTTGAGGCTTTGAAGATCCTGGAAAGTCATAAGGTGGTCGTGCCGAAACAGGCGCAGGACGAGTTGTTGGCGCTGCTGAACAAGCAAGATCTGAAGACGAAGGGGATTATCCGCGGGCGAGACATCTCAAGGATTGCGCTGAAGAAGAAGGATGAGACAATTATGAAGTTGAATGAGAGGATTGCGAGCCTGGAGACACAGAGGGAAATGGATCGAGCTGTCATTGATGGGTTGAGGGGGCGGTGATGAGAATTCGAATTCGAATGGAGTGGTTATAAGGGATAGGGAAATTGCGTTCATGATACCCTTGCAGGCAAAGTAAGTACGATTTTCATCATGTTTTCATTTTATTCTCGTCATGTCTGGGCGATCGAAGTCGATGCCATGAGTCACATATAATCACCACAGAACAGGTCTTTCTATATCAAGTACGTTATATATCATTGTTAAACACACCAATATCATTTATACTCCATGAGCATTTCGGACCATCGTCAATATATGATTCTGGATGTGAGATCGAAAAATGCCATCAAATAGGCGCCAGGTATAGATCAATATCAATCACGTGACTGATAAGGTCCAGAAGATAAAATTAAAAAGTATGAATCATTTCCCCACTAACATCAACAGACTTCAATCGCAAGATACCGATGTCTCACATCGTATAATCAGACAAAAGACCGCTTAGCATACACCCGTGGCACCTGTCCTCCCGTCCATGGACTCCATGACCGACTCCTCCAATTCGCTCCGCAGCAGCGACCTTCCGGAAATGTTTCGGCCGCCCGTGAACCGCGCGATGCGTGTCTTGGACCGCTCGTTCTTTCGCAAGTCGGTGCCTCTGTCCGCTGCTGCGGTCTTCCAAAACTCAGACATTTCAAAGGTGCGAGCGGAGCTACACAAGAGCCGGGACCTGCTGGCTGTGCCTCGGCTCAACTGCATCCGGGACGTGACAGACCAGGACGGGCAGATAAAGAAAGCTCTGCTGCTGCGCGAAACTGTCAAGCATGACGATAAGGAAACGTGGTCACCGAAGATAAGCGAGCTGGTGGAGAAGGGAAGGATCGCAATGCGGCCGTACGACCTGACGCTGGACTATGATTTTTGGACGTACGCCGATATTATCTCCTCGATTCTACCGGAGGACGAGCTACAAGAGATTCCGCAGGGATTTACTCAAGTGGGCCATGTGCTGCATTTGAACCTTCGCGAGCAATACCTCCCGTACAAGTTTCTCATTGCGGAGATTCTGAAGGACAAGAACAAGGCGATTAGGACGGTGATTAACAAAACCGAGGATGTTGGATCGCATAGCGAGTTCCGCACATTCCCCTTCGAGCTTCTGGCGGGTGATAATGATTTGAATGTTGTCCAGCACGAGCAGGACTGCGAGTTCCGCTTTGACTATTCCCGCGTCTACTGGAACAGTCGTCTGGAAACGGAGCATCGGCGCCTCGTGGAGAAATTCAACAAGGGCGAGATGGTTTGTGATGTGATGGCTGGCGTGGGACCGTTTGCTGTGCCTGCCGGCAAGAAGAAGATCTTTGTCTGGGCCAACGACCTCAACCCACACGGGTACGAGGTGATGCAGGACGCAATCAAGAGGAACAAGGTGGAGGGCTTCGTCACACCGTTCAACATGGATGGCCGGGAATTCATCCGCTGGTCTGCCAAGGAGCTCCTGAAGGCCGAGCCGGTGACCGTTACCATTCATCCCAAGGTGCGGCGGGACAGAAAATCGGACAATAAAGTCGAGCAGGCTCCCCCGCCTCATCCGGAGGAGTATCACCGTCCAGTGTTCTTCGACCACTACGTGATGAACCTCCCCGCCACGGCGATCGAGTTTCTCGATGCATTCCCCGGCGTCTATGCCGGCAACGAGTCGCTGTTTGCTCCGCACACTTCCCAGCGTCTACCTATGGTCCATGTATACTGCTTCTCGGGCCATTCCGAGAACGAGCTGGACGACCACATTGACATCTGCCAGCGGATATCCGAGCGTATTGGATACACTATCACGCCCGAGGATCGGATCGGAGGCAGTGGGAATCAGAGCATTGAGCTCTCGATCCACAATGTGAGACTGGTCAGCCCTAAGAAGCAGATGTTCTGTGCTAGCTTCCGTCTGCCTGCGGAGGTTGCGTTCAAAAAGGTATAATTCTACATTAGGGGAACTGTTATAGACAATCCTCGCATAGCATGAGGCGTTAGGCTTGGTATTCTGTATATAAAACAAACCTGATACMCTATTTGAAGCCCGCAATATAGCATCAACAGTATAGAAAATCGTACGTGGAAGGCGGTGAACATGTCACCGCCTCAAACTGCCTTGCGCCCTCCACCTCGAAGTTTTCCCGCTTGGGCATGAGCTCAACGTTCAAGCTCCGCATCCCTCGTCTGTCAACCTCGTCAACCTTCCACCGTCTACGGAAGTACACACCGAAGCATTTTCCTTTACGAATTCAAGATTTATCAGGCAACAAACCCATCATGAGCGTCCAGCTCCCCCCAGCCACGCACCGCAAGCGCGCCCTCCCCCAGGGCGAACTCGAAGCAGCCTCAACCCTCAAACTCGGCGCCGATCAAAACACACATACCCTCTCGCTGTCCGAGGCACGGCTCGTCATCAACAAGGTGCTGGAGAATAAGCGCCGTGGGGGGAAGAAATATGAGGAACCGGAGTACGTTGCGTTGCGTTGCCCGTCACCTTTCCCCGGTGACGGTTATTTTCTCTGTCCGTTGACCTACAAAGACGAGGCTAACAGGCTCGGGATGAATTAGGAATCTTACCAAGACGCTGGACTACCTCGAGGTATTTGCGCGGTTCAAGGACGAGGAGAACATCAAGGCCGTGGAGCGGTTGCTGAACTCGCATACTGAGCTGGAGATGTTCGAGCGGTCGCAGCTGGGTATGTCTTCGCGTTCATTTTACTGTGTCTGGCTGTTGCTGATAATGAATGGAAAAGGGAGCTTGTGCTGCGATAATGCTGAGGAGGCCAAGTCGCTTATTCCGAGTTTGCAGCATAAGATCTCCGATGCGGATTTGCAGGAGCTGTTGGATGAGTTGACGAAGCTGAGGAATTTCACCGAGTGAATACGGAGTATTGAGTACCTTTGACGAGGTCGATTTGGGTATCAGAATAGCATGGAGTTTTGGGCGTTTGGGCATGTTGGTGTTGTTCTACAAGTACTTTTGTAGAGTGATATTGTTTGTGGCAGGCATATTGAGCGGACAGTACATATAAAATTGGAACGGAGCATACTCAAGTTATTGAATCGATGCTGACACTCGCGCATGACTCGTATCAACTTGGTCTATATCGCCGATGACCATTTCGATGGTCTCACATGCCAGAGTCTGAAACAACTTTGTCACGTGGGTTGTGGTTCACATGCCATGAGCCTGGACCTGATCGTGCCCGTGGGGAAGATACATCTGGAGTCCAGCCAGGACGTCATACAGAACTGTAATTACACTTTTAAAGGATTATCTGCACCGACTATAACTTTATCCAACTTATTTCAGTTCTCAACACTCAGCTACGTCGTTCATTCAAGGCAAGGTGTAGATAGACAAAAGTTAATATCAATGTGGAGGCCCGGGGTATGGAGAAATGAAATTTAATTAAGTTGGCCAGGCTGGTCAGTGGTCACCACGCCCATGCATCAGCTTGACGTTGCAGGATACAATGATTACGGATGACAGCAGGATTGGCGCTCGGTAGATACCTCTGATGGTTTTAGGTTTGAATTGCTTTTGATATGGGTAATCCTCCCATATGCAGGATGCTCACGAAGCGATACCTGAGTACCTATTTAGAAGGACACTTGACGGGATCAACTCACATGGCTACAACTGATACAACTAATGGAAATCACAAGCATGGTTTCCGTTTAAGTCACGGAGGTATGAGTCGTAGCCTGATGGTTGCAGTTACTTCACTGCATATACAGATCTAGCGAGAATCCATCCCAATTGCAGACGATTCTGTTACTAATGTGCCGACTTTCGACTGCGCCAAGGATGTGTAGAATGGAGTACCACATGCTACTTAATAATAGAAGAGGACGGGGGGCAGTACTCCGGAGACCTATGGTTAGCAATTGCGCCATAGTTAAAAAACGGGAGGAGACCGAATTAGATGCAAAGTACCGAGGAATATAAACTTCAGGATGCAAGCCTCCTCCCTCATTTTTCAGATGATTCATTTCCTAAAATGCAGGTAAGCCACAGAGCTTTCATCAGCAGTGATGCCCGAGATCAGAACCAGACCAATGGCACCCCGGCTAATATCAAGTCCAAGGCCCTGGCCAGGTCTCCACTCGTGCTTTGCATTGGATGTGTAGCGCTCCCCTTAGCCGGAAAGGGAGTAGTCGCGTGTGGAGAAAGAGCAAGCTGCAGGCCGATCCCCGTTGCCGGAATTGCACCAGGCCAGATTGGGCTGCAAAGGGCGTGCTTGATTGGAGAGGGAAAGGGTGTTATCAGAGGCTGCTGATTGGAGGATAGTATCTCTATCTCTGGGCTCTCGGGCGAGTGCACCTCATTGAGAATTGCTCTGATGTCTCGCTTTTCCCTTGAAAAGTAGTGGCATGGGTCTAAGCACTCTAAAGTAGGTAGCTTGCATCGAAGCTGAAAGATGTGATTTTTTTCTAGTCTTACTCTTAAAAGTTCCTCATCTGCTGTCCTCGGTGGATGGGTATGTAGGTATGTGTGATCGCACGCTGACTAACCCAGGAGGAATTGCCAGTACGTAATCTGAAGGAGGTTCCTCGCCCCCGGCCCAATCAGGCGCAGATGTCTTATCTTGGGAGGCAACATCAAAAGCAGCAGAGATGCGACGGCACAGGAACAATCATATAATGGCAATTGTCATCATTGGGGAAACGGCAGCGGCGCAGAGGCAATCTGTTACGTGTGGGAAACGTCGTTCCCGAGCTGATCGCATGGAGCGAGTCGGGATCTCGTTGGAATGTTGATGTTTCTGTTATCCAATCTTAACTGAACCGGAGGGAGGCAGAAAAGTCCGGGTGGAAAGGTGTAATGACTGTTGAGGCATCCAGAGACACATGTATATACTACACCTGGAGTCAATCATCCTGGATCCTGAGAGATAGCTTTTCCTCTACTCGATTCGTATCGCTAACATCCTATCGATCGCTCATTCATAAGTCATAGAGTGAAACGGTTCCATCCTCCGCGGAATGACAGAGCGGACTATCAAGCATTTGATACTGCTGCAGTCGCTCGCGAAAGCTCATTACTATTGTTGAAGATAAACACCAATACAGTCATATCATTACTTTGTCTGATCGTCATATTTTCTATTATTATCATTTACAACAGCACAGAAAAGATTATTATCTTATATCTCATCTTCATCATCATCATCGTTAGATCAATCAATTGTCGCGACTGCAGGCAACTGGTACCAGTTGCTATCAATTATTTGCTCCGGTTCCGCTCTCTCCGCTCCCCCGGTCAATATCGCCTTTTACAGTTGACCACTACCTACTATCTCCGGACTACATTTTCTTCTACCTCGCATTGTGTCGAGTCTAGTCTATCTACCTCCATCTAGACTCGTCTTTCACCTGTTTAGTGTCTACCGATAAGCCTCTCCTCCGCGGTTCGTACGTTGCTCTCAACCCCGTTGATTTGGGCTGCATCCCCAGTCATTGATTGGTTGGTGGACTGCGTTGAAGCTATTCGTATCTACCGACAGATCATCCAACCTGACACCAGCTCTCTCCTGGGCCCTTGTCCAAGAGTAGTCTCTAGCTTCTTGCGGAGCATCGTCCTGGCGTCTCCGGACATCCCGGTTTACGAGAGCAAATTCAATTGAATTATCTGTCACATTGTGTGGGGAGCATAATCCCTGCACAGATATCTCTTATCTATCTACCTAGCTATCTGCTATCTCCATTTTCTATCTAAGTCGTCCCTATCGGGATCGTCTCTTCTTTTCTCGTCGTCCCCCCCGACTGTGCCTKAGAATCTCTCCACAGTGAATGGCTGCCGTTATCACTCTCCAGTCGTCCACGACGGCTGGCGCTGCGGCTACGCCTGCAGCTCCCTTTCAACAGCCTCACCCCTCAGACCACCACCTTCTTCGAGCCCGGTCTCAACAGCAGCAGGCTAGCTCGACTTCTGCGCCTATCTCGCCCTCCTCTGCCTCCATTGGATCATTACCCCGTCTGCCAGCACCTGGTCGGGATGGATCAAGTTGTGACGCCTGTTTGCGTAGAAAGAGCCGGTGCGCCATGAACGAAATGATCAATAAATGCTACTCGTGCGACTTCCATCGCCAGGACTGTACCTTCACTCTCAGTCGTCCAGGTACGGCGGACGCACAACCCAAAAAGCGAAAACTAGAAGATCTCGTCCCCGAGGAAGTGGACACTACCAAGAGGTATGACGATGATGTTTTCTTCCTCGTGGGGAATCTTACCCCATGCCGATTTCGGATGTCATATCAAGTTACGCTTATGCATGTTTTGAGATAAACACTAACCTTTCTTGCTTTCTCCTCTTGGCAGGCAACAACATCAACACCCACAACCAGCAGCTGCAGCCCTGTCGCCAGTTTCCAAAACAGATGTCTCTCACTCACCAGTGAATGGTCACAACCTCCTTATTCCATCGGGGTATTGGACCCAGTCTGCCAAGTATATTGGCATGACCACTGAATTAGAGCCGGCCCTACTCGAACATCTTCCCCTCGACCAGAACGACGAAGGAGTCGTTGCATCAGCCCGGGTACGTAAGATCGGTAACGACGGTACCTTTATGCGTGTTGTGGAACCGCCGTCCCAGGCGGACTCTCCGTCCGTCTCGCTCGATGCTATCGAGAGCCTGGTTGCTCCCTATGGGTCGACCTTGGTGGAGAAGTACTTTGAGAGCATCCACCCAGTGTTTCCCATCCTGATGGAAGATGTCTTTCGTCAGTCGTATCGGACCAGACAAGGGCTTTCTCCGCTCTTGCTCTCCGCTGTTTATGTCTTGGCTTTGAAGTTTGTGGATATTGGCCCTGTCTCGCAGTCGGTGCGACGCCCGGATGCTAGCCGTCTCGAGAGCACCGCGCTCAGACTTCTCATCGAGTCTTTGCCCCATGCAACTATCTCGACGATCCAAGCCGGACTGCTTCTCATGGAGAAGTCCACTATCGCGACCCATGCGTTGAATGCGCAGCTGGTCACCGCCGGGTTCGAGCTTGGGCTGCACCAGGACTGCAGTGGCTGGAACATGGAGACCTGGGAAAAGGGGTTGCGAAAACGACTGGCGTGGGCCCTGTATATGCAGGACAAATGGTCGGCGCTGATCCACGGGCGTCCGTCCCACATCTTCGCCTTCAACTGGACCGTCAAGGACTTGGTAGAACAGGATTTCACTGAGGCCTTCCACACGGACAGCGCGCAGCAGGACGATGCAGACGTCGGTCACGGTCCGCTCTTTTTCTGCCACATGGTGGCGCTGACCACCATCCTGTCCGACATCCTCGACCGATTTTACACTCTTCAAGCGATCGAGGAGTTCAAAGCGGCCGGTGGCAACCGGACACGCATGATCCTGGAGCGGGCCAAACCGGCCCAGATCCGACTGAAGGAATGGTTTGCATCGCTGCCCCCACAACTGAAGATGGACTCGAGCATCGACCTCTTCGACACCGTCACTGAAGACACCGCCCGCAACGGGCCCCTCCACCTCTCCTACTTTGCGACCGAAATCACCCTCCACCGCTGCATCATCCGGTCCCTCGCCCCGGACACGGCCGACGCCTACCTTTCCCACATTTGCCGCTCTGCCGCAAAGACGCGCCTCATCTCCGCCATGGACTTTGTCAACCGGCTCCGCCAGCCTCACCTCCGCTCATTCTGGCCCGCCGCCTCCCGCACCAACTTCTCTCTTATCGGCTCCTTCGGCATCCTCCTGCGCATCACCGCACCCACCAAGGAAGAGGCCGAGTTCTACCGCCTCCGCCTCTGCGAGTACCGCTGGACGCTGAGCGTCAGCCGCAAGCATGCCGAGTTCCTCGATTTCGCCCTCGACAGCCTCGACAACGCCTCCAACCTCGACCGCCACGTCCCCGGCAAACCGGGCATCGACGAGCTGATGACCAGCGCCGCCGCACCGACCATCAATAACCCCCATCTGCCCTCCGCTTCGCAGTTGGACGAGTCGATGCTTGAAATGGACCACGCGCAGGACAGCACCCGCGGCGGCACCTCGTCTGTCATCTCGGGACTGGCCTCTCCGGCTACCTCCGTCAGCGACGAAAGTGTCCAGGAGGTGTAGTTCCTCCGGTAACTCTCTTCACATTCTTCTTGTACATATCACCTACATTACATCAACTTATGCCTAACGACCTTTCACCCATTTCAACCCCTTCTACCACGCGGCGGACTCAACCAACCGCCTGGCTTGCTCACTGGATCTGGATTTACGAATGATTCCCCGGATGGACGACTGGATGATTCAATTGCCTGGATCGATTATACTTGTTTGATGATGATTATTTTCTGTATGCTAGCTCATGATGAACCCGGATATAGACTGGATCGGCGATTGGGATAGATCACGAATTAATGGTATTACATCACTTATGCAGTTTCTCGTTAGGATTAGGCGCGCCGTCTAGTCTGGCGATCAATCATGAGGAGACTCAGATTAGTCTATGCAATGTCGGACATCCGATCAGAAAGGGTAGCTTGAACTTTCACTCGACTCAGCTGTGCAGCGCCTAGCCAATCCGACGATGGGTTGACCTTGTCGTCGGTTCCGACAGAAACTCAGCCCTAACGAGATGAAGCGGCCACCTCTTCAGCCCTACCATACTCCATACAGTAGTCATAGTTCAATCCAACAGGTCGTAAATGTGATATACTCCGCGTTACCCCCGCTTGGTCCAACTTAATCTCTGTTCCTGTTACCTAAAACCGAGGATAGACGGCAGTTGAGGTCCTGCTGATCGGGTGATATCCGTGATCCGACGGATACGATCCGGGACGGATATACACGGCATGAGGATAGTGCTGATGACAGTGAGAAGAGATGTTAGTCTTGAGCTTGTCAGCTACGGGGCTTGTGTCTCTGTATATAGTCTAACGTCTTCCAGGTGCTATCGGGTGGTCTTCCCCTGCATACTGCACACAGCGTAGTAGCCAGGATAGCATGAGACGGCCTTGTTCTTACATGTGTTCTATCAGCTGATACAGACAAAGGAAAATGGCCTTGGACAAAGACAGCCTTCGCGCGCGCTTCTGCCATGCCCTGTCGGAAATGTACAAAGCCGAAGTCCCCCTGTACGGGGACCTCGTCGACCTCGTCTGGCAAGCCGACGCAGAAGCCCTCCAGACCACCCACCAGCAGCACGGCAACACCAACACCAACGCCACGATCAATCCAGACGACATCCTCCCCGCCCGGAATCGCGTCGAACGACACGGCGCCATCCGCCTCGGCACCCCGCGCGAACTCTCCACCATCCGCCGCATGTTCGCCGTCATGGGCATGGTCCCCGTGGGGTACTACGATCTGAGCGTCGCCGGGTTCCCCATGCACGCAACCGCGTTCCGGCCGCGCACGCGCGAGGCACTAGCCAGGCATCCGTTCCGGTTGTTCACGACCGTGCTGCGGAGGGAGTTGCTGAGTGAGCGGACGAGGGCGCTGGCGGAGCGGGCGCTCGCGCAGCGGGAGATCTTCAGTCCGCGGTTACTGGAGCTGATTGATTCAGCTGAGACGAAGGGGACGCTGAGCAGTGCAGAGTGCGACGAGTTCATCGCCGAGGGGCTGGAGACCTTCCGGTGGCATTCGCGGGCGACGGTCACGCTGGAGGAGTACCATGTCCTCAAGGCGGAGCATCCGCTCGTCGCGGATATCGTCTCCTTTCCCAGCTGCCACATCAACCATCTGACCCCGCGGACGATCGATATCGACCTCGTGCAGAGGATGATGCGTGAACATGGGATGCCAGCCAAGGAACGCATCGAGGGCCCGCCGCGCCGCGCGAATCCCATCCTGCTGCGTCAGACGAGCTTCAAGGCGCTGGAGGAGACGGTGTACTTTCGTGACGCGCGCAACGAGTACGTGAGGGGCTCGCATACGGCGCGGTTCGGGGAGGTCGAGCAGCGAGGGTATGCGCTCACGCGAAAGGGGCGCCAGCTGTACGATCAGATTCTTGCGCGGGTGAATCGCGAGGCGGCTGGCTCGGTGGAGTATGAGATGATCTTGAGGAAACACTTCGAGGAGTTTCCTGATGATCTGGCGCAGCTTCAGGCACAGAAGTTGGCTTTCTTCTGTTACCGGGTGACGCCACATGCGTCGGGGAGGGATTACCAGGGCGTGGAATCTGTTTCGCTGGCGCAGTTGTTGAAGGCCAAGGTCCTTGACTATGAGCCCATCACGTACGAGGATTTCCTGCCTTTATCCGCAGGTGGCATTTTCAATTCGAACTTGGACAATACATCCCAGTCTAAGCAGCTGATCATGGAGGCTGATACTGATCTAGATGGATTTCAACGGATGCTGGGGGCTCCCGTGCTGGACGAGTTTTGTCTGTACGAGCAGCTCCAGCAGGAGAGTTTGGAGACTTGTCGCCAGGAGTTGGGAGTTGGATCCATTGAGGCTGACAGTGACATTATTACCGAATGATTTCATTCCATTGGAGTAGATCTTTATTTTCGTCAGTGGATGATCCTCAAATGTTATGTGGCATTAGCATGACTGTTCAACAGCTCATATCTGAGCATGACGGCTTTTGAACATTAAATTGAGCATGCCTCTGCCATTATTATTTGATCGACTTGTCCAAATCCTTGTCAGACGAGCTTATGTCTTATAAGCTCCCCTGATGACAGGCCAGGGAGCTTATTGAGACATGCCAGATGGAGGTCACTATTTCACAATGTAGTGTTTAATGCACATTTTTGGATTCTCTACCCCTGACTTGTAGACAGAGGGAATCTGACAAGAATGCATTCCCCAGGGGTGTTTCGATATGAAGGGACATACATACGCCGCAGCCAACTGTCATGTTTCCGGAGATGAGGATACTGTCTCGTCAATAGCGGTTCTATCCGACAGGGATAAAAGAGACATTATGCTTGTTTCATAAAATAACTTTAATCAAAGGTGCATGTTGTTTCCTCTGACGAGAAGTGGAGTGCTGTCATTCCAATGCTTATGTCTCGTAGAAATCCAGGGAGAACTCCTCCGTGTCATGTACCTTGCTTCATTGGAGAGTGTTAGGCTGGTAGCCCTTATAGGCTCTAGCACCTCATTGTAAATATATCTTTGTCAAATATCAGTTCAATCAGAAGTTATCCTCCAAGCTAGGATCTATGTGATATCTCTGAAATCTCCACCATCATTCTACATTCTCTAGACAGGTTGTCATTGTTTAGGTACATTTTTCGACACAGACATGTCTGTGTCACAGAGAACAATACTGCGATCGACTGCTTGGCCATTTTCTAGTCCTGTCAGCATCTTCCCCGGGGAGATAATCGTTTCCAAGTTCGCAAAATTGCAATCATTGCTGCATTGAGCTAACGTGATATCGCGCTTTAATGCGGCCAGGCAGTTTCGTTTCTGACTGCTCAACCCTAAGACACTGCTCATCTAGCAACTATACTCGACGCCCCTGCAGTTCATTGTATCAAGACGCGGTGGCTTCCATCTACATTACTCACAGTGGCAGGTTTATAGTGTTCTGGATCTTAAACAAACAGCGTGGGTCGTACGTCTACAGAACAATGCTCCCAGCCCTACTCAGTAATGGGTCACATTCTTCCTGAACAACATAAAACCATAAATACTCCGTGCTAAAGCTTGAATTGGTCTGCTCCTCAATAGAGGACGCCTTTCAGTCAACGATCAACGACTCGGTACCGCAAAGATGCGTGCCTTTTACCTGCTTCTCCCCAGCCTTGTGGCGGCAGGAGATCTAGGCCCAAAGCCTAATCTCCTCTCCTATGGACGAAAAGGCCCTCTCCTAGGAACCTTCTTTGGGACTCCGGGCACCGACGCAACTTTTGACTATGTGATCGTTGGCGGTGGGAATGCCGGCCTGACCGTCGCCAGCAGACTCGCCCAGGACAGATCAGTAAGCGTCGCGGTCGTCGAGGCCGGAAGCTTCTACGAGATTGACAATGGGAATAAATCAGTCGTCCCTGGCTACGGACCTTACTTCGCTGGGATAGACCCGGAGGACTACCAGCCGCTCATCGACTGGGGATTCGTAACAACCCCCCAGCCTGGTGCAGGCAATCGCACCACACATTATACCCGGGGAAAGACGCTAGGAGGGAGCTCTGCGCGGAATTTCATGTTCTATCATCGGCCCACGGCAGATAGCATGCAGAAGTGGGCGGATGAGGTTGGTGACGAGAGCTATACGTTCAAAAGGATGCTTCCGTACTTCAAAAAGTCGTGCCACTACACGCCTCCGAATCCGAGCCTGATTGTCAATGCTACCAATACGCAGACTCCGGACGCGTTTGATCCTTCTGGGGGCCCTCTGCAGGTTTCTTTTGGCAATAGCGTTGATGCGTTTGGAACCTGGACCCAGAAGGCCTTCACTGCCGTGGGCTTGGAGGAGATCGATGGCCTGAACAGCGGCAGGCTGCTAGGCGCTGCATACGGAACCTCTACGATCAACCCCAAGAATGCACAGCGTTCCTCGTCTGAGGCGAGTTTTCTCCAGGAAGCTATCGCCAAAGGCTCGCCTCCTACGCTCTACATCAACGCTATGGCGCAGAGGATCCTGTTTGACGAGAACAAGGTCGCAACCGGTGTCCAGGTCTCGACTGCAGGGACATTCGGCACGCCACCGGTCAACTACACTTTGACTGCTCGCAAGGAAGTCATTGTATCCGCCGGCGCCTTCCAGTCTCCCCAGCTGCTCATGGTCTCAGGCGTTGGAGCATGCAGCGAGATCTCAAAATTCGGCATCGACTGCATCCACGACCTGCCCGGCGTAGGGCAAAACCTGCAAGACCACGCCTTCTTCGGCTCCGCACATCGAGTCAACGTCCTTACAGCGTCTGCATCGGCCAACAATCCAGCTCTGGCTGCGAAGCAGGTAGATCAGTACCTCGCAAACGCCACCGGCCCGCTATCCATCTTCGGCTCTGGATACTACGGCTTTGAGAAGCTGCCCGAACCGTATCGCTCGCAGCTCTCCGAGGCCTCCATCAAGGCGTTGTCCGGCGTCCCGAACGACTGGCCAGAGATCGAATGGCTGCCGCTGAATTCCTGGGTCGGCGACGGATCCAACTTCATAACGGGCGATCCGCGCGATGGCTACAACTACGCCACCATCGCTACGGCCCTCGTTGCGCCGTTGTCCCGGGGGACCGTGACGCTGGCTGATGCGAGTATGAATACGCCGCCTGTCATCGACCCGCAATGGCTTGTTGATCCCACCGACGTGGATCTGGCGGTTCAGTCCTTCAAGCGCCAGCGTCAGATCTGGGAGGTGCTTGTTAAAATGGGGGTTGCTGATGCGCATGAAGCGTACCCAGGAGAGCATGTCCAGACGGACTCGCAGATCCGCGAGTACCTGGCCAAAAGTATGATTCCTGTGTTTCATGTGGCTGGCAGCTGTAAGATGGGAAGAGAAGATGACCCCCTGGCGGTCCTGGATAGTACTGCCCGGGTCTTCGGAGTACAGAACCTGCGTGTTGTTGACGCCAGTAGTTTCCCGTTCATAACGCCGGGACACCCGCAGGCGGTGGTGTATGCTCTTGCGGAGAAGATTGCAGACGACATATTGGCTGGGAAATAGCCTTAGTTACATCACTATCGTGTCAAGGCCAATATTTCGACCTGTCAGAGTAACCCTGTAGGAGAATACCGAGAAGCAATCACATCAGTTGTGATATAGAATACAATGCACGAGTCCATGTGCAGTCAGATCTATCTGTACATAGCATGCCCATCAGTGGATATAGGCAAAACAATACAACCCAGCATACCCTTTAACAGTCCCATATGCCAATCAGCTTTTCCTTTGCTTATCCCCAAAAAATGCTTAAGCATTAGCTTCCATCTTCGGCACATCCTCCCCCTCAACAACCACCGCCCCCTGTTCAAGTAGCTCCTCCGCCGTCTTGACCTTGACATCCATTACCCGCAAAAGCGTATACTTATGCTTGCTCTTGACCTTCTGCACATGCCGCCGTCTCCGCTTCGTCTTCTCCTTCACCCGCAACGGCTCCGCATCCACACCCATAACCCTCACCCGGCACTCAAACAGCCGCTCATCGATATAGGGCGCCCCCTTGAGCGTGAAGTCGCGCGAACCCAGCACAGACGCCCGGTTGAAGCGGAGGATGTCGCCCGGTTTCACGCCCCGCATGAGGAACGGCAGGCGGAGGTGGTCGCCTGCAGTCAGGAGGTAAGGTTTTGCGTGGAGGTGCGCGGTGATGTAGTGCGGTTTTTGAGAGGTGAGGTAGGGGAGTTTCTCGAGGAGGGATTTGGTGAGGCGTACGGGTGACGCTTGATCCTGTGAAGGTTGGGATGGAGTTTGTGCGGTAGGCGTGGAGGATTGGGCCCGTGGTGTGGCGCTGAGTGGGCTCTCGGGGTGTGATGTGCTGCTGCTGCTGCTGCTGCTTGTGTTCGTGGCTTGGTGAAGGCAGGCGCGGAAGCTGGGGCGCAGGAGTGCGTTGTGCTGCTGCTCCCAGGGTAGAGCGAAGACTCTTGCGAGCGTTGTTCGGGAGAACATAGTGAAGCGGGTATTGGTTGTTTGCTTCAATTGAAGTCAATCGGGTCTTGTAGCTGTCTGCGTTCCTCCCAAGCGAGGACGAGACGCAATGGACGCTGAGATGCTGGATGGACTGGTTGTTGATGGGCGTCGGCGTCGGCGGAGTTGTGTCGAGAAATTCCAGCGAATGGCGGATGTGGCCGCCTCGCTTTCCGTAGGGGCACGTGATATTATCGACTCGACACAACTACGGAATCAGGTTCATGCATTCAGTCAAAATAGGTTGCTCTGTTTGGAATCTCTTGCTCAGACTTTGGATCAATAAGTCAATGACTTAATTAAAGTCATTGTGTGAAGCGATTGTCGACAGTCAGAGTCAACAAAATTTCAGCACGATAAGGACATCACGTGACTTATCGATATCGAACCTGCATCGCCCGCAGAACAACTTTTTTGTCTCAGTCTCGGCCAAGAGGAGACCATCAACATCACTCGTCAGTAACGTTCTGTCTGTCATATATCCATCATGGTATGTTACCCTGTTCATGATCCCTAGAATAATGCATTGCCTGCTCCGTGGAGGCCACATGCAGAGTTCTCAAGGGTGAAAAATTACTGAACCTGTACTAACTGCTTCTGAATACAGCCTCAGAACGAGTTCGTCTACCCCTCTCGACTCAGCTGTGGTCAATCCACAATCTAACAGAATCTTAGGTATATCGAGCGCTGGCAAAAGCAGCACGGTAAGCGGCTCGATCACGACGAGCGCGTCCGCAAGCGCCAGGCCCGTGAATCGCACAAACAGTCCCAGGATGCCCAGAATCTGCGCGGCCTGCGGGCCAAGCTGTACCAGCAGAAGCGCCATGCCGAGAAGATCCAGATGCGCAAGCGCATCAAGGCACAGGAGGAGAAGAACGTCAAGTCCTCCGCCCCCGACGAGCCGTCCAAGACCCCTCTGCCCCAGTACCTGCTCGACCGTTCGCAGGCGACCAACGCCAAGGCCTTGTCCAGTGCTATCAAGGACAAGCGGGCTGAGAAGGCGGCCAAGTTCGCGGTGCCCCTGCCCAAGGTGAAGGGTATCAGTGAGGAGGAGATGTTCAAGGTTGTCAACACGGGCAAGAAGACGCACAAGAAGTCGTGGAAGCGGATGATCACCAAGCCCACGTTCGTCGGCAGCGACTTCACTCGGCGACCGGTCAAGTACGAGCGTTTCATCCGGCCAATGGGTCTGCGTTACAAGAAGGCCAACGTCACACAGTATGCTATCTTCCTTCCCTCTGACTTTTGCGTTGCAGCTCGACTGACAATCTATCAGCCCGGAGCTCGCCGTCACCGTGCAACTGCCCATCCTGGGCGTCAAGAAGAACCCGCAGAACCCTCTCTACACCCAACTGGGTGTCCTGACCAAGGGAACCATCATCGAAGTCAATGTCTCCGAATTGGGTCTCGTCACGACAAGCGGAAAGGTCGTATGGGGTAAATATGCGCAGATCACCAATACTCCCGAGAACGACGGGACAGTCAATGCGTATGTGGCCCTTTTCACCAATTCATGTCCCTTGACAGAGTCATACTAATATTCGTGTTCAGAGTCCTCCTGGTCTAATCTCACTCACCGAGCGGCGCACCGCACCTTGATACCAGTTCCGTTGCAGAAGTCCGCATTCTCATTGGCATTTTCTTCAGTTCAGCAGTCTATATTCGTGGGAGGCGTTCAAGGCGAGCACTTTGATTCCATCTATTAAAAGTATACTTCTAGTTCATCGATCCGATTTGCAAGTCAGTAGAAATAGACATCATGAGTGAGCAGATCTCTTCATCGGCCGTAGATAGCTTTCAGGACATCACGTTGCTAAACTGGTTCGACTACTCTACAGTCCGAGGTATTCTTTCTTCTTAGTCAATCCCCTGAATACTGCTCTTGTCAGATTTGATGAAGAACTCTTAGTCCACCGTAACTTTGTTTATGCAACCGGCCGCATTAGATGAAGTCCGCAGTGGATATATATATAGACCAACACCGTGATAGACTAACCAAAACAATAGACGAAAGGGTACACGATAAGTATAAGGCAAACCGCCTTAACAGATAATAAATTGGATATATTCCATATACTGAAACTCCAAATACCATGCTGACCCAACAGTTTCCCAATGCAACGAGTCACGGCATACACATGCAAGGCTGAAGCGCATTACAGAAACTCCCAACTCCCCATACCAAGGGGAAAGAAATGGCTCCAAAAAAATATGTACAAGAAGATAATGAGTGACAAAGGAAACTATTCCAGTAGAGCAGACCTGAAGTTGGACGCCGTGTCGTCGGATCATCCAGGATATCATGAAAGGAGGACTTCAACCAAAACAAATGACAAAGGAAATCATGGCGAGTCAAGTGTGATCAAGCATTTTCTTCTAGTGCCGCCTTGATCTTCGCGTAGAATCCGGCCGGCCAGGCGGCTATTTCTTCGTCTTTGGGTATGCCCCGAGTGCGGCAGTGGTGGACCACATTCATCAGGATCCTGCCCAGCATGTCCTGATTAACTGGAACAGTGCCTTCCAGTTGTGCGTCAGGATACAAGAATGGATCTCTCTGGCTAAGAAGTTCTTCCACTGTCGGTCGCAAGGTCTGATCCCGTTGCAGGCAGCGTTTCAGGGTGCGGATCAGCCCGGGCGGTATTGCAACTCCTCCAACGCCAAAAGCTGGGAAGTCAATTTGGACTTTAGGATTGGGGATGGCCATGATGCGCTCGTAATATTTGGCGATCTTGGCGAATGGCGGTTGGCCATATACCATTTTATAAAGGATACAGCCTAGACTCCAGACATCACTGGGCTTGCCGAGCTTCATCATCTTTCCAACACTGGCCGGCAGCCCAAGCGAGGCATTAGAGTCGATCAACGCTTCTGGTGACATGTAATTGGGTGTGCCGACTTGCTGCTCGCGATGCACGTTGACCGTATTATCCTGGATGGCGTTGGCGATTCCAAAATCGATCAGCTTCAGCCTTCCCTGGACGAGGAGGAAGTTGGCGGGCTTCAGGTCGGAATGCACAATATTGCAATTGTGGACCGCCTGAACACATTCGAGCATCTCTTTCCAGTAATAACGCGTGAAGTTGATATCAAAGACAGCATCCTCGGCGTTCAACCTGTACGTCAGGATCTTCTCCAAATCAGACTCTCCGATTTCCATCAGAACACTGAGGGTGTGCTTGTCCGAATTGAGTTCCCAGTCAAACAAACGGACAACCCGATCAATGTTTTCCAGTCTCTTCAACAGGTCGATCTCGCCTTTGTAGCCGGCTAGCGTCACTGGATCGACATCTTCGAGGTTCACCCTCTTCAGAGCAAAGATTTTATAATTTTCGGCCATGACCCGGTAGACACGAGAACTTCCCCCCCGTCCGATGCAATCCAGCCGCGTGAATGGCTTATGATTGACCGAGACCTGGCTTCTTTTTTTGCGAGACTGAGATGCCGTAGCCGCTCCTCCCGTCGCTGTGGCGGTCTCAAGCATCGACATCTTCGGAGGAGGGGGCGCTGGCCGGTGAGGGGTATTGCTGCTCCGTGTTGCTAGAATCTTTCGCGGGGAATTCCCGGCCGGCGTCTCCGCATTGTCTTTCTTGTCGTCCCCGTAGATTACAGAGAGCTTTTCCGGTTTGCTTAGGAGGTTAAGACCCTGGGGCTTATCGCGTTTGAAAGTTGGTGGAGGCTCATTCTCTTGGTCTCGGGTTGCTGGGAGTTGAGGAAGCGGTGGGACCTTGAAAACAGGCTCCTCATGAGCACTTGAAGGCTTGGAGGACATTTCCGAGGCGGACCCAGGTGTCGATTTGGAATGTGATCCGGACGATCTCGGCGATGAAGATCTGGAGAATGGGCCCTCCCCAGAGGAAGCACTAGCGGGATCATATGCTCGAGGTCGCTCGGCTTCCTGAGGCGGGCTGGGGTCTGCCCACGTTACCTTGGGCGATGAGGAGGTTCTTGTTTTAGCTTTGTAGCGATATTCAGCGTTGTCGTCGTTCGGGTCGAGACTCGATTCCCTATGTCGTTCTGCGGAATAGCTCTGAGGGTCATTGTTCTCCTCGCTCTGCCGCCGCAGGACACCCCTTCTCGCAGGTCCATTCAGGAATGTCCCTGTGAGCCTTCCGACTCTTTTCACGCGAAGGGAACTCTGCATGCCTCCATCCTCCCCATGGCGCGAGCGGAGCACAGACGCAGTGCCATATCGAGGGGCGTAGTCGTCCTCGTAATTCATCGTCCTCCCATTTTCCGAGCGCTCTGCGCTTGAATGTTCATTAATGGAGCTCCTATCACCAGATCGGTTTTGGGAGGGAGACACTGAAGTAGGCGACCGTACATGACTTCGCGATCCAGTGATGCGAACACTGCGCGGTCTCGGGGCCGGCGTGATGAGATCTTTTGAGTTATAATTTGCGCTAGAGCCCACGCTCTCACTTTGTGATAGAGGGGAGCCTTCTTGCGCATGCCTGTTGCTGTTGGCGAGCGCTGGAGCTATGCGTACTACCCGAGGAGCGGGGCTGCCGGTTGATCGATCAAGGGGCGACGATGTTCGGGACTGCCTCGAGTGACTTGTCGCAGCCGATGTCGCGCGTTCAGTTGAAGAGACACGCTCGTTGCTGCTATATTTGAGATGAGGGGAAGAGCCTAGTCCGTCCTCGTCGAGGAGAGCCTTGACGGAAGCGCTGAACTTGGGCTCCGGAACCTCATCATCGGAGCTGTCACCGGCTGAATACTGCCTGTGAATCGATACTCCCTCATTCCGCGACGTTGTATGATAGTCAAGTGCCGGTGAAGAGCGTCTAGAATTGGAGCGAGAGAGTGTAGAACGAGACATTTGCCGGAGCGATGGTTGTCGATGCAGGCCACTAGTATATGCGGAGGAAAGAGAATTCGGAGAGGCCATCATAACATTTTTCAGCTCAATCAATAAATCCTACATAGACGTGTCGACCAATGCGCCTGTTCCAAATTTCCCAAAAATCATCGGATGCCCCAATGGCGGGGGCGTGTCGTTTCGTGTTTGCTGTGTCGCTTGTCGGACTTGATGCTGTTGTTTCTTGTTCTCGGATCATGACAAACATCGCGGGTGGCTGGGGACTCGGGACAAAGTCACCTGATAACATCTCGTTGCCGGGGCGATTAGAGAACAACAACATTCATGAACACGTAGTCAGCGTACTTCGTATCTATCAAATCAATCGAAAAGGCAATAATGTACGACTTGGTCTGCAAATGTGTGGCTCAGCTGTAGGATGTCCTTGCCAGCTTATTGCTTGCGAAGCTTTCAATGGCTGGTGATTGCACGTCCGCAAGTATACCTACAATTCTTTTGCCGAGAGTATCGGATGCTCACTAAATAACCATCAGACACGGAGCATTAGGGTTTGAAACATGTTCTCAATTCTAAATGAACCTGACTTGCGTTTGACCAAAAGTCATGAATTTACTCAACTGACTTCCGCCCTAAGATGTGTCGAGCGTATCGTCATCGTGATCGCTGGAAGGATCAACTATCAACTATAGGAAAATATACTTCGTAGGCAGTCTCTATTCTACAGCAACAGAGAAAAGCCATCACTGTTCAGATTGCTCTTCTCGTCTGCTCCTACTAGTCTTGAACACACATAGATGAACAGAGTCGGCTAGCAATCAAGCTAATGATATCGTTACTTTCAGAGTGCGATGACACATGCTATCCTGCTAACTAGTCACCTGACGCCGGCCAACTTGTTGCCAGGAAACTCCCCTCTCTTTTCCTTTCCCTCGGCCATCTTCACAAGCAGGCAGTCGATGCCCGAATTGGCAAGAGGAGAGCAGTATCGCCGAACTATCCGTTTTCTGCCACTGGTTCTCCAAAGTCGAAAATGGAAAAGTCCTACGTTTCATCCAGAGACACTGCCAGGGATGATGAAACCGTGATGCGATCTCAAGCTTTTGTGGGCGTTTCAGAAGGACAAATTCTGATGTCCGTTTCCCTGTTTGATCAAGTGAAATCACATTCTCTCTCCAATGCATCAGCTATTTTTATCTGATGATGCTATTGCTGGAGGAGAGAATTTACGGGTCAAACTTCCCCTGGTGGCTCCATCCTCACAGTTCGGCTCCAACCGCGGATGGACCACTGCTGGTGGACTCCTGGGTGGCCTCAGGAACCAAGGTTAGATGGACTTTGGTTCAGGAACGGTTCCCAACATGGTATCGTCCAATACTTTGCTTGACCCATCAATCTATTTCATTCAGTCTACTGAGTTACATACTCGGAGTACTAACTGGATAAGATCTAACTTTGACCATTTATCTAGTGTGTTCTCATTTTGAGGCTCTCTTAGCCGGCTGCTCATGAGCGCTGTGTTTGTTTCCATCACCCATAGAAGTTGAGAATATGACGGACAAACCTAACAAGACACATACTTCGAAAGAGCTGTTGACTACGGGTAACGAAATACTATTTGTCAGTCGATGCTGGTTCCGAGCTGTAGAGGGATTATTTTTCCGCTAAATGCCCAAAACTGGCTAGCGGATGCACCGAAGTTCTTTGTTCCTGACTAACTGGATACTACGTCGTTATCCGCAATCGCCAGGGGTTGCCAAGTTCGTGGACACTTTCCAATTTCGAGCTCTTTTGTGATACCTTCACCTGCATCCAGCCTGACAAGCTGCGCCAACCTGCACCATACGCTGGGCATTCTTTATTTGTCCGAGCTTCCGAGAGTCTAGATTTGCCCCTGGGGTCGTCGACTTATCAAGCCACGAGCGACTGGTCCAGAGTCTGCTGCGACAACAGCAGACTTCACCATCTAAACAACGCATCCATAGCACAGAGATGATAGTTCGAACAATTTCAGTTCTTGTGGTACTACGGTACTACCTAGTCCCTGTCTTCAATGCTTTCGGTCGGCGAAGCCGCTTCAAGGCACTCTGAACTGGAACATGATGGAGTTTGCCATATTCAACCTTAGCCGTCGCCAGTATCCGTAATGCAATCCAGATTCGTGCGCGTCGGAAAGGATTCCTATGTGCATCCTAGGCCCACTGGTCCCAAAAATTGATCAGTCAACAATGAATTCCACAAAAAAAGAGGGTCACTTTATTGTCCAACTACACTATCTTCGGGGAGGTTCTTCGTACATTGTCCAAAGCAATGACCTTTAGACCTCTTTTTTCTTTTTTCTCCCCCCTCTCGTTTAACGTCTTACCCCAAAAAAAGGAAAAGGCAGGAAGTTTAAGCTTTTCTGCACTGGATGGCTTCATGATACATCCACTCGTGATACTAACGACGTACTAATTTCATAATAGTTTACAATACTACGGATTACTCAGGAAAAGCCGCTAGCAGCCTGGGCCGAAACACCGGTTGTCGTGACTTGTGATCGCCCATGGTTGGACTCGGCAACGAACGGGGTCCCGCAGTTGTCCATTTCCAACAGTCTACTATGGAGTACTAACTACTGATCTATTGATCTGCTGATTTACTACATTCGAAAATAAGTCCCTGGCGATTCGCAATTGGCTTTGGCTGCGTCCTTAACGCAAGCATGGTTGGCAGCCTAGCCTAGGTCTAACGGCTCCGCAAAAAACAATTAACAAACAACCTGATTCGCAGTATCAATCGCGATCATTGCTGTTTACGACTTGACTGTCGTCGATCACGGGATAACTGCTTTCTGGACCGAATTCCTCGAATGGCAAAGGCACGAGCTTGAAAGAAAATTCCCCGTTCTTTAGGTGTCATTATTGGCTTCCTCTCAATCTCAGGTCTATGTTGGTCTCCCTTGGCATTGTTGATGGTTCCACGTACTATGCGTTTGGTGGCTTTGACTATGTTGAGTTTCTCCCTCCAAAGGAGCTTCTCACGACAGGTTTAGGTTCGGATTTATGCTTTCCCAGACAAGAGACACATGATAGTTTGAATCTCGTAATTCACTCATGTGCTCTGCGAACCCCTGGCGACGCAATGATGGCTCACCCAATCTTCGGCTATCTAGCTATCGATCTTTCCGATTCTCCATGTGCCGTTGGAGGCCAGCTTAGATACCAGGTTACCTGAAATAGTATTCTCACTGGCGCGTTTCGGATGTTTCCACAATTCGAAGCTAGTGTGATCTGCTTGCCATTTCACTGGCAGCCAACGCTCCACTTCGGTTAACGAGCACCTTGAAGATCCGGGCCTGCGATCCCAAAGAATCAACAGCACAGGCTCCGCTAGTGATAAACGACTCCTCTTTCCTAATAATCCTAGTCTTTTGGGCCCCTGCCCTGTTGTGAATCTTGGCTAGTTTGGCACCAATGCTAGACAAGGGTGGCGCTGCTGGTGGTCCGCCAATCGTGCAGCAGACCGGGGAGTGCTCTCTAGTCTCTACATCATGACCGGCCATACTGCAGTCCCCCCAGGGGTAGTATATATACCTGGATGATGATCACCTCTCTGATTGATCATCAACTCCTCAATCGCTTCGTTCTTCCGCTCTTTCTTGTTTTTTTCAGTCTTTCTTCTGATTGTCATATTGTTTGAACAGCCTGTCATTATCCAATTCGGCTATTCGTAGCCCCGTCATTCCCTTAGGATACATCCATTCTATTACCTACCAAGACACTCGTTAGCATCTCACTTTATATTACGCTTACACAATGCGTTCTAACAACCTTTTCCTGCTCGCCAGTTTGGCGAGCTACGTCCTCGCTCTTCCCACCGACGTGGAGAGCCGCCACCTCAAGGTGGGCGCTGACGTCGATATTGGTGATCTTTCCATTGGTGCGGGGATTTCGATCGATGGTGGTCTCGATTTGAGCGGGCTCATCAGTGCTATCCTTGGTGGACATGCAAGCACCACGACCCTCCTTGCTGGTTTGAGTGCTCAGGCAGCCGCTGCCCTGCAGGGAGGTGCACTTGGTTGCAAGGCAGGTGCGATCCATGCCGCCGCCAGGGCTGAACTGGCCGCCTGGCTCCGTGCTGAGGCCGCCGCTTTCCTCGATGCATCCATCAAGGCATCCCTTCTCGACTGGTGTGAAGGTGACGCGTCTGTCTCCCTTTCCGTGGATGTCTGCGCCGGACTTTCAGTGCTGATCCCCACTTGCGCCGACATCGCCGCCAAGGGCGACCTCTTTGTTACCATTGAGGGTATCTTCTCCTCCGCCGAGGTTGCCGCAGATGTTGTCCTGAGCGCTTCCGCCCAAGCTTCTCTGTCCGCATTCCTGTCTGGGTCTGTTGGTGCTGCCCTCGACGCCAAGGTTAGGGCTGGTCTCGGCCTTTGTGCTGGCGGTGGTGTCTTCGTCGACCTGGCCGCCGATGTCCAGGCCGCCCTGAAGGCCTGGCTCGCCAGCTCCGAATGCAGCCTGTCTGCTTCTCTGAAGGTTGCTGTTTTGGCTTGGTTGGAGGGCAAGATTGGCGCCGATGTTATTGCCATTGGCTCTCTGCCCAGCGGTGGTCTGGCAACGATCTCCGCTGGTGCTTCCGTCGCCGCCCTTGTCGAGAAGACTGGCATCCTCTCCGCCAGCGCCCAGGCTTCTCTCGCCGCCTTCCTCAAAGCTGACATTTCCGCCGGTCTTGATGCCCACGTTCAGGCTGCCCTCGAGGCTTGCGCCAAGGGCGGTGCCGCCGTCTCCGTTGATGTTGAAGTTCGTACCGCTCTCGTCGCCTGGCTCACCAGCTCGAGCTGCTCGCTCGGCGCTGAGCTCAAGGCTGTTGTTCTGTTCTGGCTTTCGTTCGCCCTCGAGGCCGATGTCTCCGTCAGCGTGTCCACAGGTCTCCTTGGCGAGCTCACTTCCTTCCTCACTGGCACCATCGAGGCTACTCTCGGCGCCGTTTTCCGCGGCGTTGTTGCTATTCTGACCTCCGGCGAGAGCATGGCCTCCTTGTCTCTTGACGCTCGTGCCCAGCTGGCTGCTATCCTTGGTGGTGCCGCTGGCATCGAGATCGACGCCAGCATTGAAATTATCCTCATCGGATGGCTTACCGGCTGTGGCCACCTCCCCAGCGGCTCCAGCTTCACCAAGACTGGTGTCCCCAGCCTTCCTTCAGCTCCTGCCGCCTCTGTTACCGGTGTGCCTTCTGTCCCCGCTGTGC